CATGCGAGGGTTCATCTTACATATATCGTGGAACAATGTATGATATACCCACTGGCCGATTATTCCATTCGACTATACTTTACAAGCATACGTGAAGTACATATACACTACAAATAAATAGACTGCTCTAACTATTAAACGACGGACTATTAAGAACAACAACACGATCTGCGTTCCAACAGTGCATTGCTAGCCGCTCTAAATATAAAGGTGGACTAACTATCACACCGATGCACACTGATACTGTGTGTAGGTGGGGTAACATTTGTGTGATCACTCATAATTTCCTAAAAGAGCTTTGTAAAATCATGGAACTATAGTTTATAGTTCCATGGTAAAATTGACAACCTTCTCTGTTGCGACAACTGCCGTTGTGTTCTATGGTTTTCTTGAAGTTGGATCGCAATAATGTTTTAACCTTTCGCCTAGTGCACTGGTCAGGTGACTGCTCAATAGCATGTTTTTTTTTCAATATTTTTATAGTCAAATACATAATTTGGTCTGAGGTCGAATTGATTCCCACGAAACTTTATTGCTGCCTCGGTGATCCTTGGACCAACAAAAAAACGTCACCGCTTGAGGGCGTTTATGCGTTCACATCCTTCTAAAACGGCTTAAATTACGTCGGAGCTAGGCCGCTTTTACGCGTTCACATGATGAGAACAAAGTATTACACTCGCGGAGAAAAACAAAACAAAACAAATGAATACCTTTATGACCGGATTCAAAGAAGGCATTGGAAAGAGGCACACCCCGCGCCCCTCCTGTCCCGTAATTTCAAATGGTCAAACCCTAATATCCAATACATTGACGTGGATAGCATTTATTGCCGTGTATTGTAAATTAGTCACCAGATTTTCTGTAACTAAAAAAACACAATGTTGTCAGCGTGTGAGACGACCCCTTATACATCCCGAGGCAATACCAGCATTCACGTTTCTATATATAACCTAAAGTCTTCTATAGGCAACAACAAAACTGTTTCAAACGACGAAGTTGTCCACAAATCCTTTTGAAAGGTTGCTGCTCGTACAATGATTTTTGTTTAACTCACTCGCACAATGGCTTGTCCCCATGACAACGTCCACACGTACCTCAATGCGTCCGTACTGTGATAACGTCCAGTCGTATCTCACCATGTTTCTATCCGCGTTTTTTGCAAATAATAAATGAAAATAATTTGGTGATATCTGATAGGATAAACATGTTACAGTTTTGTTTTGCTTCACCATAACGCATGCGCTAAATTAATTTGCATAATTACTAAATTTATATATTATGATTATTGACCACTTTGTCTTATTGACTTTAGAAGAGCGTGCATACTATATTCAGACAACCCACTCAATACTATAATGTAGGTCACTTTATTTGTATATCCGGAAATGACGTAATCTAAATGTGGTCGGTCGACAACAAAATATATATTTAAGACACTGTGTTTGTTTGACCGAATTCCAGTAAAAACTGGAAATGCACTTAAATAGTTTTTATTACTGTAACTTCTTTTATTTATTTAACCATTTTTTTCTTTGTTCGTGTTTGATGTTTATTATTATTTATTTAGTCGTATATTTCTTCAATAGTTTATTTATTATTTATATATTCTTTATTCGCGTATTGAGTTGTTACTTTATTCTATTCGTATTTATTATGTATTTACTGTTACTTTATAGGGCATGTATAGTTTAAATAGTTGTGGCGCATTGCTAACAGCCAGTCAGAATACATCCGTTTTCACATATCGACCGGACTTCTAGAAAAATAGACGCTCTCATTGATTCGCGTGTTTTTATCACTGCGTACATCCGGGTTCAAAATAGTACATCTTCGATTTATAACCACCTAAGCTGATGTAAAATAAAGAGTTCCGTATAAATGCTGTGTGGCACTCAATCAGAAATGTTTTTATCCGTAAAACGAATCAAGTCTATTATGCTTTAATTAGGGAGTAATATGTTGAATCTTGAAAACAACCCTGAAAGCGGAAACAAGATATCGAGTGAGTTGTGAGACCTGTCTTGTCGTCTACCGATTTCCGAAAATAGGAAAACCACAAATAAAATAAACAATATTTCAGATATTTATGGTGTTTTCCGAACAAAACACTACAATTTGGTATAAAACAGGAAAACAGAAACAAGTAGTTACTGTAGTCGATGTTACTGTATCACTACGTACAAGTATACTGGCAGTGGTGTGAGCGCATGAGTGCGTGAGTATTCCCCGCCAATGTGCCATGTAAGTACTCACCTACTTCAATGTACATACTCCATATTCAGATATTATCTCGTTTACTTGTTATCATATATGTTTACACTTCTCCGTAATCTCCGTAATATCAATATATTGGTATATTTTGGACCACCGCTTTTAACGAACAACAATTATATATATTTACTGCTTATTATAAGACATGCACACGTCAAATGATGTTTTCAATGAAAATTGAAACACGATGAAAAAGAATGTACAAAAATATATATATACATGTATATATTTTGTATGAGTGTCCCATATGGAAGTCGATCGCAAATAACATTATGTTCGTCAGTTTTTATTCCTAAAATGTTGTTATTGGAAATACATTCCACACACATTGAATGTTCGTATGCATACTGGTAGTGATTCCCCGGGTAGTGAATACTATGTCGTAAACCAGTTATTCGCGTTGTATTTTCAGTATGCCACCGCGTTATAAATTCTATGTCGTAAACCAGTTCTTCGCGTTGTATTTTCAGTGAGTGGCTGTGTGATTTCCGCTTTTCATTAGTGTAGTAATTATTATATTGTGTTTCTCGTCTTCACGTTGTATTCCTTTCTTAGCTTTCTCTAGGCCTAACTACAGAAATAAAGCTCTCTAAACTGTACCTCCGATTTTACATGCGCAGTCCCTTCTTGTCCCATATGATAAAATAATTCAATTAATTTGAGTACCTTCATTATATTTATCGTTTCAAAAAGTTATTCAACAAAACTATATTCTAGTCAACGGAACGAGCTATATTTTCTGCCGGTGACGACATTATTGTTTAATTACGTGCAATGACGTGCAACTGTTTCCGATCGAGGGTAGGATAAAATAGAACAACAATAATAGCGAATGGAAGTGGATGGACAGCCAACTCACAAGAAAGTGAGTTAACATTGGCCTTTGATTACCGTTAATGTTGCTGACATTGCACCCCGTGTCTATACTGATATATTGACCTCGTACTGACTTGTGATATCTTGACATCGTCTATACTGACTTGTGATATTTTGACATCGTCTATACTGATTTGATGTGATATATTGACATATCATGGAATCTATACTTTGCGTGAAATACGCAAGGATAAAATAATCACACGTCACGTGGCCCTTGTTGATATGCGATTTAAAGCATTTCGTGTGTGGAGATTTACTATAGAGGGCGCTATAGATATTATAAGACTTACTGCTGTCTGGCTTGGTCTTTATCGTACAAGTTTCAGTCAATACATGTGTGTTTGATCCATCCCAGACAATGTTTTGGTTGCCTTCACATCAGCTCAGTACCTATGAAATATTTTCAAAACTTGGTCTCGGTTTTGTCTGGTAAGTAATTAGGTCAGTTATGTCATTCGTTATTACTGACAGTGTCTTCAATATCGAAATGATGTTTCCAACGAATGAATACGCCGCACAATGCGTTCTTGCAGTATTTCTAATCTATTGTCGCAGTGGAGGAATGATTCTGTTTTTATTTTATTTTTTGATGTTGGAAGAGTAGATAGTCATAATGTGTGGTTATTTCAGTATGGTTGCCATGTCATTTGAACTTGATTAGACGAATCGCATGTTGCGTAGGTTACTATAATTTCACCCTGTATCCAAGCGTGTTGGTAATCATCGTGTAATTACATGTCGTGGCGCTCATCGTCTTTTTGATATTCGGGATGAAACTAGTTCAAATATCTGCGTTTGTTTATATAGGCTTTACTTTACTAGATCAATTTCATTTATGTCAAATTTCAAGTTCTTTCGCGTATTTCCAATGTCTCTTACGTAAAATGTATCGTTCGTAACATTCAATACAGTGTTTTAGTCAATGTATCTTACGTACAATTTATCTCACGTAATATTCAATACAATGTTCTAGTCAATGTATCTTACGTAAAATGTATCGTTCGTAACATTCAATACAATGTTCTAGTCAATGTATCTTACGTAAAATGTATCGTTCGTAACATTCAATACAGTATTCTAGTCAATGTATCTTACGTAAAATGTATCTCACGTAATATTCAATACAGTATTCTAGTCAATGTATCTTACGTAAAATGTATCTCACGTAATATTCAATACAGTATTCTAGTCAATGTATCTTACACAAAAGTCTTAGACACAATCTTAATTTAGTTCGCCTTGATTACATTTAATCTTATATCGTGATGTGAGGGCGGGGTGTAGAAACATCTCATCGTATCATGATGTCATTCTTAGTCTCTTCGGTCTGTCTTCCATATTTACAATTCTGTGCAAACACGGTTACTTTGATTGACCTTTTTAATATCGTGTTTTTGCCTCAGACACTTACTTAAAATATAATGTGTTTATAGACTATAGAGCAATTAGTTCATAGAGACAATGAACGATTATTACGATAGTGGCCCCATTGTCTCGGCTATACTCGGTGCATCGACAACTTGTTTTGTTATTATCGTTTGCCCTCCCCAAATAACATAGTTTAATATTAAGATAGTGTAATTGCTGTGACAATTTGCTAGTTTTGACAGCCATATTGGCACGGGCACAATCACCCTACTATTGCCCGGGCAATAAAGCCAAATAAGTGCTCACTATATGGTTAGTAGGTAAAAATCGCCGTGCCCTGATTTAATACATCATATATTATAAAACTAGTTATACTGCGATATTAAGACTTATCTACTTATTATTATTATTATTTGTAGGTCATCT